GACCGAGAACTTGCATGCCTCCGACTCTTTCATCTCCTTCATACTCCTTTTTCAAGAAGTCCCGCATTTCTTTTCATTGTCTTCGGTGTCATGATTCCGGTGAAAATTGTAGATGAGACAATCGCAAATAGGTCGGCTCTAGCCTTTGATTTCCTTTGTTTCTTCTCTTTGTGATTTTTAATTTATGCCATGGTGGAATTGTTTGGTAAAGGAGGAACTTCATACTCATCTTTAACGACCTTCCCACATATCATTTGCATCAAGGTAGGCTTCCATTCTAACGACCCACACTTGATAATTTGTTCCATCAAACACTCGGATGTGCCGCTGCAATAAATGAGATCTCCGAATCCATTTTGAATTTTTTTTGTAGGTTTTGTGTGTTTTGTTTAGGATAGGTGGTCGGTGTTTAGGACAAGTGTTTAGGTTCTCTCAACTTCACAGGTCTCTCAAGATTAAAGCTCGATACCAATTTGTTGGTTTTTATTGGAAACAGAGTGCAAAAGGTATGCAAAAAGAAGATAATTTCAGACTATTGAATCTACTTTTTATTGAATCATAAAGCATCAATTTATACATGTAAATTGTTAACTCGGAATGAGCAAAATATGGAGATTATTATGGCACTAAGTCCATGATTAACGGAATGGAAAAACAAACTCTTGAAATCTGATATAACTAACCACTTCCTAGAGACCATGTCTTCTCCTTGTTCTTCTAACTATTTTCTATACGTGCAAGAACACCTCCACAATCAATAGCCTTGTAAGTTCGCTTATTGCCAAGTTGGTAGCCTTGTCAGCTGCATATTTGTTCTTGTAGCAGTCCTGTATTAGTAGCTCCTGAGACACTATATTCAACATCAATCATTGCACAATCCAACGAGTGCTGCAACATTTGCACAGACAGTCAAGGCTTCTTGAGAAAGTGATGGCCAGCATCGTTACATCAGGGCTTGATCCACACGGTTGAATGACATTGCTCAAAAATTGATACTATTTGGAAGCACTGTTGGTTAGTAAGTTGATACATCGAACATCTGGCAATTGCGAAGTACCAATGGCATGAATGTGAACTATTTGATTACGAGCATAAAAGCTTCCTCGTTGATTTCAATCCTGGATTCGTTTATGACTTTTATTCCCTGGAATTTCATGGTATATCAAGTGACCTATCTGATTTTTCTCATTGATCCCTTCTGCAAAAAGTTTAAAATCTACATATCAAAGTTGTCTAATTAAATTTCTGAGTCGTGCTTTCATGCGATTATCAAATGAGCTATAAGACCTTTTCATGTTCTAGAACTTCATATAAACAAGCACGAACTATAAATGAGAACGCTAGCGGAAAAATAAACAGGAGAAAAAAATAGAAAACCAGAGATGGTGATACTGCCATTAAAAAAAGAGAAGAACAGAAAATAGAAGGCAATAGAAGGGAGGATATTTAACACAAGGGTTATACATCTTGGGAGAAAACGCAGGGGTTTTCATTGTGATCGCTCTCCCAAAGAGAGGTCAGCCCACATAGTTATTCAGTCCAAAAGCTTAGAGGACTTTGTACAAACAGCATTCTCTAAATTCCAATTGTATTCCTGTACTTCTGCACTCCTTTCCCCCGCAATCTGCTCCATTCCAAAGTAACCTCCATATACCTATCAGGTGAGCTTGGCTGGGTCTAAATCTGGGCTTTTAATACAAACTTTCTATATAAACAAAAGTAAACAAAAGGGGACAAAAGCACTTGCACCGTTCGTCAGGCCCACGAAGGAAAGTTGCTTCGGTGGAGATCATGGCAACAGAAAGATGCTGCTTGTGCATATAAATAAATGAAAGCCAGCCCACGTTGGCCGAGCCCATTTTCATTTTGTACTACTTATTTTGAGGGGACTTGGGCTTATCAAGGGTCAGATGTGCAAGACAATGTAAATAATCCATTAACAAATTATTCAACCCAATTTTTTTTTTTTTTTAGTAAAATGTGAGATAAAATTGGATCTTTTTATTAATTAAAGTTAGATTTACATTTAATTATTTTTAGAATAAAATGAAACAGATTTCCCTAGACAATTGCTTAAAATGCAAATAGTCTATAAATAAATCAATCAATCCAAATTCAATCTTTTAGTTAGGTTAATAAATGTCCTAAGCATATAGGAGCTTTTCTCATAATGAGAAAATTTCAAATCTTATTTACTATAATAGGATAGTTTTAAATTTATTTATCAAAAAAAATATCTTATGCCATATAGAAATCATCTCATTTAAATAAAGTGACACATCAGCATTTTTTAAAAATCATTTTGTTAAATAAATATTTTATCATCACACATTAATCTCCTTCTTTTTTTTTTTTTTGCTATTTTCTATTTGTATAAATAAGTTTGTTCTTTTTTTTTTTTTTCTTTTTTCTTATTCTTATTCCTTTCGTATCTCTCTCTATCTTTTTTCGATCTACATGATGATATAAAATGAATTTTCTAAATTTTCTTATTTGTCCAAAATTCTTATACCAACTTGTTTTTGTTGTGAATTTCAGCATCATCCCTTTTATTATTAATCAGTAAATCCTTCAAAATAATGTTTCCATCATAAATATATAGCCAACAATTGTTTTAAATATTCTAGCTATACCTTGTATAAGTATGGAGAAGTATATAATATTGGTTTGCTAGAGGGGATAAAGTTTTAAATAAGTAAGGTTCGAAGAAAATTCAAGCATGTGAGCTCAAATACATTCAAATCAATAATCTTCTCCAAGATAAAAAGATGAATAATCTGTAAAAGTCAATAATCTATAAAACAGATACAAGTGAAAATTGAAAACGAGGAAAGAGAAAGACATTAAGAGAGGAGAGAGAAGCATTGGATTTCAAAATCAAATCCAGTGTCTAATGGATAGCAAAATTGCGAGAGTCTAACCTCCTTGGCAAGTCTGGATTAGCGAGGAACCTATGGCCATAAGCTACAAGATCTCCACAGTTCTATGCCACGGCTTTGTTTCCATCTTTCCTGTCTAAACCCCCAGCAACAATGAAGTACCATTGAAAGCCTTTCTTATGGGTGGAAGACTGTGTACGTGGCATTCGTGTTTTTCTGTAGGCTTCTCATTCTTGGCTCAACCATTTGGCAGTAGAGAATGCCATATTTTATTCAAGGACTCAACCATGTAAACTTCTAAAGCTTTAGTATTATCTCATGCTTCCATAAAGGTTGCATACGGAGATAGCATTATTCCAACTTTATCTGCTCATATCTAGTTGGTTATAGATTCAACTATTTCCAAAGCAAATTGACAATGTTTCTCTAGAGATCCACCGTATTGATTTGTTTAGTCATTTACTTGATCTTCCATGACAGCTTAATTAGGTAGCCATGTGCTCTATGGATTTTTACTCCATTAAAACCTGCTTCCATGGCATTCCTTGCGGCAAGTCTAAAGTCATTGACAATTTAGAGGAACAAAGAAGATAGCAAAAAAAAAAAAAAAAAAAGAGTTTTTTGGCTAGCCGCCAGCCACCATTTGTCCTGCATCAGTCCCTAAACCGAAAAGATAAAAACAATTTTTTTTTTTTTTAAGAAGAGAGGTTTTAATTTTTTTAATTAATGAAATATAAAAAATAAAGATGAAGCTATTTAATGTAATGAAATTATTTTTCAACAATTAAGAAAAAAATGATGTGGATGAAAAAAATCTTATACGACAAAAAAGTGTATTTGTTTGATAATTAAATTTAAAAATACTCTAGTTAAAGAATAAAGATTTAAAAATGTATTGATTTAAAAAAAACTCCATTAGCAAGACCTAAAATTATTTGCCTTTTGAGTAATGATATAAGAGTTTTTATGTGTACATTTTATCCCTTAATTAATAAAATTTGATTTGAGGTGTTGTTGAGTCTGCTTTTGGATCATTGCATTTAGCTTTTATGTTCTTTTAATTTATTTTTAATAAATATTGATTTTGTGAAGCATTTCTTTGATCTTTAATGGAGTATATTTCCTTAAACAAATCGTGAGAAATTTGTTAGCAAGTAAATTACTTTTTTATAGTTGCTAGAGATATCATTTAATCGGTATGTATATTAAATGAGACCTCGTATCATTATAATGTATTTAAAAAACTAAATTCTTCTATATGGTAATTCTAATATTCCCATTCAAAAAGTAAAAGTTAATAGAGGGAGCAAACTTCCTTAATTATGGGGCCTACATCCAAGTAAATTAATGATAATAGATTTAAGTATGTATAGAGAGATTACTCTTGAGGTCTGCTCCAATAACATTTTTACCGTTGAAAAATAAAATAGATACATGTATGCATTATTGTTTTTTGGATCTTTCAGCGTATCCCAAACCTAAGGAAAATCTCTTGTTATTTTGGTGGACGCAGAGAAAAAAGACATATGCATGTATTATTCTATCCTCCCTTTACATTATATTCTTAATTACCGTGTTCATTTACTAATTATACGGTCTTAATTTATTTATTCTTGATCGAAGATCTTGTAGACCATCAAAGGTCACTGAGCAGATGAATACACCATTAAAAAAGAAAAATTGATATATATATATATATATATTGAATTGCTTAAACCATCCGGACCATTTGAGGCAACAAATTCAAAATATTTTCGAGAAATGGGTAATTCTAGGAAGTATTGAAATTGTTTTTGAGTAATTCGAACGATACAAAAAGAAAACTTGGATGATCCTAATTATGTTTTTTATTTATACAATTTTAAATTAGCGGGCTTGTAATTTATTTTTACAATCTAATTTTGGTTAGTCAAAACTTTTCTTAACTTAATTTTGACTAATTAATTGTATTCTCAACTTAAATGATCCGAATGCTCACTTCGCTTCTGTTTGAGAAGGTGACGTTCACAAATGAAATGGCGTGGGGGTGGGGCCCTAAAAACTTAGGAAGCAAGCTGAATTTTTTGGCGAGTGTAAAAATTCTTTCTACAATAGTAACAGTAAAGAAGGCGTTTCGAGGAAATGTGGAATGGAATCCAATCGCATCAGCTTCTTCTCAACGAAGCAGGGAGTGCTGAGTAGTCAGTAGTGCCCATTTTCTATCCATCAATGGCCCACTTCAGTACATCTTTTGACCCACCATGGACTCTATTGGTCAATGGAGAATGCCTAGCCAATAAATATATATATATATATATATAATGCAAGCAGACACATACTCTCCTCTGTTAGTCATCCACCTCCCCTGTCTTTGATCATTCAGGCCTTCGACGAACAGAATGAATTACATTTTCTCATCAGGTATGTCAAAATTTACTTTTTCAACACTTAGATAGTAGTGTTTTTCTGTTTCTTTTTCTAATTTTCTTTTTGGTTTTGTTAATGGAAGCACCTGGATTTAGATTTCAACCAACCCCTCAACAATTAATAACTGAGTTTTTGGCGCCGAAAGCGCGTGGTGATAATGTGAAACACTTGCTCCTCATGGCAGAGGTTAACCTTTGCAAGCATGAACCATGGGATCTGCCTGGTAACAACAATATGCTTTTCTTGTTTTTGTTTTCTTTTTTCTTATGTTGGTCAGAATATTTTATTTATTAATGTTGCCTGCGCTTATATCTGCGTAGATAAATCGATTATAAAGTCAGACGATGAAGAGTGGTATTTCTTTTGCCCTCGCGATCTCAAGTCTTTCAACAGCAAATGTTCTAACAGAAGAACGAAGGCGGGATTTTGGAAATCAACATGCCGGAAAAAGCCAATAAAAGATAAGCGTACCAAGAAAGTGATTGGTATAAGGAAGACTTTGGTTTTCTACAAAACAGCTCGGCCCAAAGCTAAGAGGACTGGGTGGATCATATACGAATATGATATCATCACCGATTCTAGCCTGTCTTATAACAAGGTACATGCCAGCTTTAATTTCCTGGTTGAAGTAACACTGTGTTTGAGGTATGAGTTGGGAAGTGTTGTCTAAAGAACCTAATTCACTTTTGTGTTTTGACATTTGCAGGGGCAGTATGTTCTGTGTAGATTGAAAAAAAAATCAGAAGACGAGAAGATCAAGAAAGGTGAACAAAATCGCCAGATTGCTCCAGTATCTGATTATGAAGCTGAACCAAGTCAGAGTATGGCTTCTGATTATGAAGATAAAAGCAGAAGTGAGATGACTTTGAAGTCAGCTTGTAATGAAAGTAAATTAAGCCACCATGTGGCTTCTGATCATTTTGAAAATCAAAACTCAAATGAGCTGGTAAATAACTCAGCTTGCCAAGTTAGTGAATTTAGCCACTATATGGCTTCTGATTTTAGAAATCAGAACTCAAATAAGCTAATGTCTAATTCAGCTTATGATGGAAGTGGGTCAAGCCACTCCCCGACTTTTAATTCTGAAACCCAATACTTGAATCAGCCGACAGTTGATTCAGCTTATAATGGAAGCAAAAGCCACTACAAGGCTTTTGATTCTGAAACTCAAATTTCAAACAATATTATTATTGTGCCAACTGATGAGGATCGGTTACTGGCTTTTGAGAAATGGTTAATGACACCTGATTTGAAAAATCAGGAATTGCCCTTTCAACATGAAGGTAAGCGCGGTCCTTCCGTGGCGATTCCTTCAGAGTTTATAAAAAAATTAACTAGTGATAGTGAATCAACTAGCCTAATGGCTTTTGATTTTAACAGTCAAAATCTAGACAAGGAAATCGATATATCAGCCTTCGACGAAGGTGACTGGAGTTCTCCCACAGCAACTCCTCCGGATTTTGGAAATCAAAATCCTTGTAAGAAGACTGATATGTCAAGTACCCTTGAAGAAGATTATTCGAGTTTCTTGGAGGCCTCTTTTTCAGACAATGATCTAGCTGATGTTGCGCTTCCAGAGGTGAGAATTACGTAACATGCATTACAGATTCTTTCAATTTTTCTTATGTGTTTGAGTAGCAAACCCAAAGCTTGTTCTTTCTTTACGTGATACTTCCTGCAGGTAAGCCCTGAACTACTAGCAGAGCTGGAACGTTTTTTTGAGCAAGACAACAGCCCCAACACTGCACTTGATCAGCTGCCTGTGTGCATGGAGGAAAGCCACTCCTACATGGCCTTTGATGCCTGTGCATCCACTTGAAAAGATCTGTTCTACGGGCCTATACCTCTGCTCCCTTAACTTCCTACCTGCTATTTAACAACAAAAATATCCACACTAAACAATCAGTGGAGTTTATTATATATGGCTTAAGAGGGCAACTACGAATGCTCCTCTAATCTGCTGCTTATGAGGGTAACTTATATCGCTCTAGTTGTTTGGATCCTTTCATGGTTGCTGATCTGCACATTTTGTTTACTTCATGGTGGATGCTGCTTAGTTCGACTTCATCCAGTCCATGCAGCTTCAAGCTGCAATCCTCTAAAATATAGCCTGTGCGGTCCCAAATCTGCAGCTATATTCATAGAAAGATTTTAGTACTAGTAGCAGAAGATGCGACTGGTTCTCTGCGATCCTGATGCGATTGTTATCCCTCAAGCACTAAAGGTATTAATTGGGAAGTACTATCCAAGTTCTACTTATGTTTGGTTACTTGCTTATTATTGTTATGTGTTGCTGGGTGTGTGAATGTGAAATGGTATCAAGAGCAAACAGCTCTTATGGACATTGTATATACGTATGAATCAGTGTGTTCCAAAGATGTTGAACAGAATTTATGTCTGTAATCGATATGTTCAAATTCTCTTTTCTTATCTTTGTTAGTTGTTGGATTGCTAATGTAATGTGAGTGCAGATTAGCACTAGAATGTGGTGATAATATTACTGAAAGTTCAGAATGACAAGAGATCTATATTATGTTGTGTTGATCGACTTTGGATAAACGTGATGCAACTATCTGTCCTGGGGGATGGCGATGATTCTGTCATGATTGATTGTTGAATGCTAGCTGCTAGATGTACTGTGGCATAACAGAAAGGATTTAAAGCCTCTAGCTAACATGTTACTTGATTCGAAATTGCTTCTAATAAGCCGGTGGCAATGTACGCCTTTTCAGTTGTCAGAGAATAATATAAATCATATCTTAAAATTTTACCTAATAAGCTTAAGCTTTTGGGTGATTTAATCCTTTAATATAATATACGGTCGCAATTTCAAATTCTACTATCCTTATTTTCTCATCTAATTAATTAAGCATAAGTTATTGTGATCCTTTGACATCTGAATCAAACCATGTAGCTTGGCATTAATCTTCAGACAAGATCAATTCCCTTTTATTGAAATCTAGGATAACATCTAGGGTAGAACTGAAGTACTTAAGCATGGTAAATGTACAGTTCTTAGAGCAAGTAGCAGGAAAGTGAGTAGCTTTGTTAGCATGTGGAACAATAACAGGGAACAAGCAAGGAGAACAGGAATTCTGCTGTGCCATTTTAAGCAATCAAATCAAATTTGTAGTGAAGACAGGTGTGAAAATGAAGGGACCAGTGGAGACGAAAAAAATTTGGGAGACAAAATTGGTGGCATCGGAAAGAAGTACCTGGGAAACAAGATCGAAAATCTCCAATAACATATCAATTTTGCACCATAATATTTCTACTCCACATAACTTATGGTTGCCAGTAACAAAAAAAAAAAAACAAAGGAAAAAAAACTTATGTTTACGCAAGTCCCTATGTGGAACAGCTTGTAGTGCAAGGAAGAATGTTCTCCCTTGGCTTGGAATAAAAAATAATAATAATAATAACAAGGCTATGAAAGCATTCTAATTCTAGGGCATATCCTGCAATGCCTCGGGTAATAGTTGCGAAGGCAAGAATAAAAATGAGGACCCGAAAATATATATATTTTTTTGATAATGACTAGGGAGCAAGTGAACATTCCAGATTATTGTAGAAGATGGTATATGTTCCAGAAGGTGTGGCAGGGTTGTTACAAAGCTGATCGTTTTTGCCCAGTGGAAAATGTCTTTTACAAAGGTGTCAAAAAGATAGCGCGTTTTGAGTGGAAATGTGGCATGGAATCCAATCCCTTCAATCCCTTCTTCCCCAAGGAGAGGATAGTGACCCTTTTCTACCAATCAATGGCCCACATCACTACATTTGTGGACTCACCATTGACACCATTGGTCAATAAGAGAATCTCCAATTAATATTTGTAGGCACGAGAAAAACCAAAGAAGAAAATTGGAAGTAACCGAAATTAACAGTAAACGGTAAATGAATAGTCCTGAACAGTAACCATCCAGGTTCTTTTTCTATTTTTCTTAATTTAGCAGATACACTCACCTCTAGTTGCAGTGGCTATCCACGTCCTTTCTCTGATTCCCAATTCCTAAACTAGAGTACTACTTCTCCTCTTAGATCAACCACGCCTTCGCCTTTTGCTTCCGTTTTAGGAAGAGGAATGGGTTACGATTTATCATCAGGTTAGTCACTCTAATTACCTTTCTCTTTCAACACTAATCATGAATGATCATCGCCCTGATTGCCAACTCTACTAATTTTTTTATTTTTTTTGGTTTGTTAGTCCTGGCAAATCCAACAAGCTTAATGCAATTAGTGGAAGCTGGATTTAAATTCCAACCATCCCCTGAAGAATTAATAAGCAATTATTTGGTGCCGAAATCCCGTGGTGATCCTGTGAAAGGCGTGCCCATGGCAGTGGTTAACCTTTGCAAGAATGAACCTTGGGAACTACCTGGTAATAACAATAACAATATGTTTGCTAGCTATGTTTTTCTTTTTGTCGGAATATTTTATTAATTTGGCTGTTTATTTCTGTGCAGATAAAGCGATTATAAAGTTAGCAGATCAAGAGTGGTATTTCTTTTGCCCTCGCGATCTTAAGTACAAGAACAGCAAACTTGCTAACAGAAAAACGAAGGCCGGGCACTGGAAGTCAACCTGCAAGATAAAGCCAATAATGGCTGAGCATACTAAGAAGAAGATTGGGGTAATGAAGACTCTGACTTTCTATAAAACAGCTCTGCCCAAAGCTGTGAGGACTGAATGGATGATATATGAATTCGACCTCATGGCCAGCCCTACCATGTATAAAAAGGTAAATGCCAAATTTAATTTCCATGGCTGATGCATCCCTGTGTTTGATGTATGAGTTGGGAAATTGTGGTCTAAAGAACTAGTTCACTTTTTGTGTTTTGACTTGTGCAGGGGCAATACGTTATCTGTAGATTGGAGAACAAATCAGAAGACGAGAAGACGAAGAGAGATGAACAAAATAACGATATGGCTTCAGTCTCTGATTCTGAAGCTGAACCAAGTCAGAGTATGGCTTCTGATCATGAAGAAAAAAACACAAGTGAGATGACTCCTATTTCAGCTTGTGATGAAAGTGAATTAAGCCACCATGTGGCTTCTGATCATTTTGAAACTCAAAAGTCAAATGAGCTGATGACTAACTCAGCTCGCCAAGTTAGTGAATTAAGCCACTGCATGACTTCTGATTTGAGAAATCAGAACGCAAGTAAGCTAATGTCTAATTCAGCTTATGATGGAAGTGGGTCAAGCTACTCCGCGACTTGTAATTCTGAAACCCAATACTTGAATCAGCCGACAGTTGATTCAGCTTATAATGGAAGCAAAAGCCACTACAAGGCTTTTGATTCTGAAACTCAAATTTCAAACAATATGATTACTGTGCCAACTGATGAGGATCAGTTGCTGGCATATGAGAAATGGTTAATGGCTTATGATTTGAAAAATCAGGAATTGCCCTTTCAACATGAAGGTGAAAGCGGTCCTTCCGTGGTGATGTCTTCAGAGTTTATAAAAAAATCAACTAGTGATAGTGAATCAAATAGCCTAAAGGCTTTTGATTTCAAAAGTCAAAATCTGGAAAAGGAAATCGATATATCAGCCTTCGATGAAGTTGATTGGAGTTATCTCACAGCATCTCCTCCGGATTTTGGGAATCAAAATCCTTGTAAGAAGACTGATATGTCAAGTATCCTTGAAGAAGGTTATTCGAGTTACTTGAAGGCCTCCTTTTCTTGATAATGATCTAGCTGATGTTGCGCTTCCAGAGGTGAGAATTAAGTAACATGCATTACAGATTCTTTTCAATTTTTCCTGTGGGGTTCGAGTAGCAAACCCAAAGCTTGTTCTTACTTTACTTGATACCTCCTGCAGGCAAGCCCTGAACTACTAGCAGCGCTGGAAGGTTTTTTTGACCAAGAAAACGGCCCCAACACTGCGCTTGATCAGACTCTGTGCATGGAGGAAAGCCACTCCTACATGTGTTTTGATACCTCTGCATCCGCTTGAAAAGATCTGTTCTCCGGGCCTGTACCTCTGCGCCCTTAATTTCCTACCTGCTATTTAACAACAAAAATATCCGTACTAAACAATCAATGGAGTTTATTATATATGGCTTGAGAGGGCAACTACTAACGCTCCTCTAATCTGCTGCTTGTGAGGGTAACTTAAATCGCTCTAGTTGTTTGGATCCTTACACGGTTGCTTATCTGCACGTATTGTTTACTTTATGGTGGATGCTGCGTAGTTCGACTTCATCCAGTCCATGCAGCTTCAAGCTGCAATCCTCTAAAATATAGCCTTTGCGGTCCCAAATCTGCAGCTATATTCATAGAAAGATTTTAGTACCAGTAGCAGAAGATGCGACTTGTTCTCTGCGATCCCGATGCGATTTTTATCCCTCAAGCACTAAGGTATTTAGTGGGAAGTACTGTCGAAGTTCTACTTATGTATGGTTACTTGTTATTGTTATTTGTTGCTGGGTGTGTGTTGGTGAAATTGTATACACGTCTTATGGGCTTTGTATATACGTGTATCAGTGTGTTTCAAACATGTTGAACAGAACTTATGTTCAATAGATGTGTTCTAAGTTCATTTTTTACATCTTTGTTAACTAATATGTTGCCTGGTATAGCGCTATAAATACTATTTACTAATTACTATTATTATTACTACTCATAATACTAAAACAAATAGGGAATTCACTGATCAAGACGTTGTCAATTCCCTTACATTTCACTATTTATTCATTGCTGGGTATTTCCCAAAACACTACTCATTCACTCTTTAGTTATGTTATTTGTCCGAAAATATTTGTTTTGGTTCCTCATTTTTTAATAATGTTTTTTTGGTTTGTAATTTCATTTTTGGTTGGTTTTCGTCTTTACATCCTGAGAGGTGAGAAAATCGAGGGAAAGAGAAGAATTGAGAGAGAGACAATTCTGGCCGCTCCGCTGGTCGGTCTTGCCACAAATTTGAACTTCTTGAAATGTAGAATCCGTTTATACAGTGGCAAGCAATGATATGGTCAGAGGAGATACATCGAAATTTTAAAATATTTTAAACTTTTTTATTCTAATTTTTTTTTTTTTTTTTTTGTGTTTTGCGTAAATAAAAATGATTTTTGAGGTTTTAAACATATGTATTTTTTTAACGTTATTTATGTGATTTTTGAGATTTTTTGAATAAAAATGAAACTGATTTTGGTTTTTGGAGGTTGAAAATCGACGAACCTGACGATGACGGTTGTCAGAAGTTGCAGAGTCGTCGGAAAAATAAAAAATCAGTAATTTTTCTTTTCGTGGCCGCATGAACTTGGACACCAAGTTCTAGGAGTGCGGGCTTGAACACCCAGGCCCAGGCTCATGGCTCTGTCCCCCAAACCCAGCCACACAGGCCTTTTCTACGAGGCCCAGGATTGTTGGCTTGGTCCTTGGTTTTTTTTTTCTTTTCTTTTCTTTGATTTTTTTTTTTTTAATTAAGAATTTATAGGCAAACATTACAGTTCATTGAACATTATGATTTGTGTTTTCCATGTAACTTGACGAGGATAAAATATATATACTGTTATTTTATATTTTAAAATTAATATATAATTTAAATTATACTATCCGTGTTATTTAAAATTTATATTGTGAATTTATCAGTTCTAATAAAAATCCTCATTGATTTAATTTTTTTATATAAATTTTTTTTATTTATTGATAGATATAATTTAATTTCTCTATATTTGAATTTTAAAATAAAATTTTAAAACATGATTAAAAAAAATTGATATAATATATACTATGAATTCTTATAATTTTTAAATGATAGTTGCATATATAAATAAATAAATAATTATTTTAATCTAACAAGTTAAAATTGTGTTTCAGATAATTTGTCTTCGTCCATTAGGTATAATCAAGACGTATAAAAAAAATTATTAAATCATCAATTTTATTAAAAATTAATTATACATCTCCACATATAACACTAACTATTTGTTAAGATTTTTTTTAATACTATAAAACCAATTTCCTTAAAATAAAATAATTAAAATAATTTTTTAAAAGAACCACTCAATTATTTAAATATAATTTTTTTATACTAACATCATTAATTTTTTTATAAATAAATATATATAGATCAAATGCATATATTTTCAAAAAAAGTTAAATCAACATGAAATAAGAATAACAATTTGTATGAAATATGTTGAATAAATTTAAAGTTAATAGACGATAATAAAAAATGCTAAAATGTTAATTTTGATAAATTTGATTATACAAAGAAGAAATTAAAAAAAAAAACATAGATTTCATTTTTAAATATTTTTGTTTCTAGACTAAACATGCCTGATTCTTGGCACTTGCCTCGCACTTATAGCAGTCATTTTCTTCTTCTTTTTTCACTTCGTATTTTTAATTATTAATTAGTTCTTTTCTAAAATTATCTTTTACTAAAAAATTAAAACAAATTATCTATGATATACTTTTAGCATTTAGATTAAAGACTTATATTTAAAATCATGCTACTCTCATTTAAAAAATATGAAAATCTATCGTATAAACTATGTTAATTTCTTTTTCTTTTTTTAAATAATCATATTCATAAAAAATTATTTGAAAATTCAGATACAAAGAAAAATAAATTATATTCATTTACAAATAAAATTTCATGAAAAATGGAAAAATCAATTAGATGAATTTCTATAAAAATGACAAATTAAAAGAATAAATCTTAAATAATAAAAATAATATAATTTGAAATATATGTTTAGTTAAAATCTGAAAACACATCATATATATTAAATTTTTGCTAGATTTTTTGGAAAACCCAAAAAACTATGTTGAGTTTTCCATAATTTTAGCAGAAAATTTAGTAATAATAAATAAAAAAATTAACGATTAAAAACGAGAAAGAAAAGGAATTTAGGCCTGAGCCTTCGGGTTGGAAAACTAGGTCCATACAAGATAGCCACTTCAAAAGAAAAAATCAGACGGCGCCTCTTGTGCCATGAACAGGAGACGATATGTGATTCGTTTATAATTTTCAAGTAACTTGAGTTCCTTGCAAATTTCGAAGTACCAATTTTTGGCCCTTCGAATCTATTTTTTCAGCTTTTTTATTTTCAAAACACCTCAAAATTATTAAAATAATCTTTAGAAACTCGCTTGGAATTTTGAAGCTCGTTTTAATACACCATGAAACACAAAAATTTAAATCAATTTTTAAAACTAAAAAATATTTTGAGACTTAGAAACTCGCTTGGAATTTTGAAGCTCGTTTTAAAACACAAACTCTCCATGTTAAAATGAATATAGTTAAGTTGATGGTAATCATTGTCAAAACGAATTTCATTGTAATTTCTCATTCTCAAACATGAAGTGTGAAATGAGTCTAGATAAAAATATTTTTATTATTTTTTATAATTTCGAATATAATTTTTTTATTTTTTTTGTCTATCTTTTTCTTAGAAAGTGAATGAAGAATTATTGTAAGTATACAATAGTTAATTCTGAAGGAAGAATTTTAAAATTTCTTGTAAAAAAATATAAGATTGTGACGACATTCTAATTAGAAGATAAATTGTACAATGTTTTCATTAATAATTATACGGATAAGTAGTCGAATTATTCTATAACAAGTATCGGAATTGAATTGATTCCATTTAAAAAATAATTTAATGATTGAGTAAAAAACTAAGCATGATCTGATATTAGTGTGATTCGAGAACAATAAATTTAGTTTTTATTAATGTAAAAGCTAAATAAAAAATATGTATAGTTGCAAAGGCAACGAGCTTCAATGCTTTTATATTTGTTCTCAAATTTTTTAGATGCATATTAAAAATCCTTCGGATAGATATATTTCTAGTTGGACGTGATTGTGAATTGAAACCCGCAAGCCTGTCCGGTATCTCACAAGTACGGAGAGGGGGATTTTATTGCCTTTTTTCGCATAATTATTGTGCCTTCACAAATTTTGATCCCATTCTGCAAAATTTGCACAGGCTTTCTGTACTCTATATCCAACGTGGTCGAAAAAATCACAATATCCAATTACATTTGACCAAATATTGCAATCATAGGTAGCAACAAAATATAAGCTAGCAGGTAGTTTTCTGTAATTTCTGGATCAGATTATTCTAGAGAATTCTGGGAGGGTAAGAGAGTACTCAGAGTACGCACTATTCAGTCTTAACTTCTCAAGAAAGTTATCGTGCCTTCGCGGAATCTTGTTTCTTGTCGTTAATTTCTTTGATGTAATTGTCATCGATTCTGTAATCACTTTCCCATTTTTTAATTTACATCACTTGCATATACATGATTCCGCTTTGACATGAAAAATTAGTGCCGATTGTTAGAGAGGATTATTAATTAATCATTTTAGAAAAAAAATGTGTAAAAGAAGACTGGATAAAAAAATCATCATGAATCCTCTTGTCCTGATCATGCGGTCTTAAAATATCATCCAACAATAAAAAAATAATAAAAAAAGAATACTATGCTACTTGCTTGACTAAAAACGACCGTTAAAACTGAAGGAAAAATAGATGAATGTTGTTGGTTCAATTTGACTTGCATGTGACCATTCTTAAACGTTCGCGAATTTTCGAGAAGGTACGTAAGTTAATTAGCGGAACTAAAAACCTTGGACTGTAAGTTGTGGGATGTCTTCAAACCTTTTCCTTTCGATCTTGATCAGTGCGAGGAGAAATGAATTTCTCGTTTCTTTCTTTCCATTTTGGTAAAAAAAATTATTATTGCTAATTTAATTGGTTATCGGATAGTACAACATTCTGTACGGACACAAAAGACACGGTTTGAAGTAGGACCCACTTAGATTGGAGACCAATGCCTTCGAAACGACGAACTTCTTGGTGAAGTAGAGACTTTTTTTAAGATCAGTCGGTCAGGATTAGTGGATGCTTGAATGCCTGGGCTATAAATACACAAAGAAACATACACCAGCTTCGTGTCCTCATCACAGATAGAAAGTCTCTTACAAGTTGCTACGTCACTGCTCCATTGCTTCCAGCTTTTCTTAGTTATTTGCCTCTTTACTTCATTTTCCATTATCAAATCTAGAATCTCTTCTATTACCTTGGTCAAATTTCTTATCAATTTAGATATATTGATCCTGTGGTATTGCTCTAGGTTGTATGATGTGGTACTGACCCTTTTTTATTTTTTTTATTAATCTTATTTTAAACAGTTATAAACTCCGGGAAACATGACAAGCCCAACAAAACCAATTCGATCAGACCCAGTAGGCTATGGATTCCATCCAACCGATGAAGAATTAGTCAACCATTTCTTGAAGTTAAAAATGCTCGGTGGCTACGATCTCGAAGTTGGCATAATTGCCGAGGTTAATGTGTGCAATTTTGAACCTTGGGAATTGCCTGGTACGACTTAAATATGTGTATGCATGTGCAGCTTTGTTCAATCTTTTTTCTAATTTGCAATTGTCAATGGAGAAATAATCACGTTGATTGTGTAGGGTTTTCAGCAATACGGTCGAGCAATCCAGAGTGTTATTTCTTTTCTCCTCGCAATTACAAGTACTCCAATAGTCAGCGGGCTAATAGGACTACGGAGGCAGGATACTGGAAAGTCACTGGTAAGCATCGTATAATCACTGCTAAGAGCACAGGGGAGCATATTGCTACAAAGAAAACTTTGGTTTTCCACAAGGGTCGTGTTCCTAATGGAGTCAAGACCAATTGGGTCATGCATGAGTACAACCCAACTTTCAACTTCAATAACCAGGTAGTGTTCCCTTACAAAGTAATTTTCATAAACTTTTTTTTTTTTTTTTTTTGCCATTTTGTAAACAGCTTATTGATATCAGCTCTTTCCAGATTTTACAAAATGGTTTTAGTTCTCCAATTGACTCTTATTTATTAGACATTCAAATGCTACTACCAACTTTTTTTGGTCAACTTTGTGTAGAGAGACTTCATTCTCTACAAACTGAAGAAAAACCCAGATGATATGCCAACGTTTGATGAAGGTGATTCAAGTACTTCCTATGTGGCAGAGGTGAGAAGTAGCACGAATTACCAGTAGTTTTTAACTGCAAATTTTTTCATGCAAGCATATCAAGAACTTATATTTACCTCTACAGGAAGACTTTGATCAAATACGCGCACAACTGGAATCATTCTGTGGAGTTGAGGAGGTAGATTATAACCTGAACTCTGCCGTGCGGTTTTCAAATGGCAGAATGTACTGAGAAAAGCCTCCTACAGTGGGTGGTTTTCTATCACCTGTCTGTCAATCTTTACTATTGTATTGTAGCCAACTTTATGTCCTAAGTTCCTATTTTGGTCATATCTGTCCTAGTTTTCATATCTGTTAATTAGGGTGTAGCTGATAAGCCAAAGGAACAAACTGCCTCTAGTTGTAGTTTTGGTGTTTCTCCTTGTTTGTTTTGCCAGAGTGGGATTTAATGCTTTTCAAATTTGTTCAGCTTTGTGACTCGTTTATGATGACATTATTGACTGTTTAATTAATACTAGTCAGTTAGCGAGATGATTAAAAACAAAGGAAAAAAAAGAGAGAGAAAGAAAAAGAAACAGATATAGTTTTACCCGAGGCTGGGGCCTTGGGAGCATTGCAAACAAATATAGTTTGCTTCGAAATGTTTGATCAAAGCTTGTCCTTAATCCTGCGGTGAGTATAAGATTTTGCAAGATCCAATTATCAAGCAAAATCGCACAACTTGTAGAAATGGAGCAGGGTGTTCAATCCAAAAAAAAAAGAGTATCTTCATGACACCAATTCACTTATTAGCAAGCGTTGTAAAGTCATTTGGGTTAAACCGCGTAAGATACACGTAATATAATCTCTGTGATAGATCATTAATTGGAGAGCATCTGAATCATGCTAACTAGCGGTGGGACCGTTTAAAATGTGCGTAGCTTCATGACACCAATTCCTTCGCCGGTAAATACAGCCTCTAATCGTATTTTTCATTCCTTTAGAAGATTGTCGTTACATAACGCTAACAACGTTATTCGCGGTTATGCATGGAAAACGACATAGGGACACTCATGATGCCAAATAGCAGTAATAGAATTTTCCGAAACCATTATATATCTATGACAACGTAATCGTCGATCTTCGAATCCATGTGATTGATAAATTAAACTAGCAGAACCATATTGTACAAGTGCTGACAATGAAGACCTGCAAAATTAAAAGGATCAAATATATACAATGCTTGCTTGAAAACTCGATATAACCCCAACAAACCAACCTAAAGTTTCTTCTTCATTGCTGAGCAGCATGCTTGTTCATTTCATTTCATAATTCTAACTGCCTATGTTAGCTACTGGAGTATACAAAGGCAGCGTCAACACAGAGACTTCCTTTGGTGTTCTGAGTGCAGTCAATCTGAGTCATTGAAAACTTGATCTTCATTAATTTGTTCGGACGCTGGACAACAAAATCTCGGATATGGTGTTAAACCCGATTCCCAGGATTGTCCAGAAATTAAAGCTTTTTGATGTTGAAGAAAAATCATGTTTAATTGACATGTTCAAGTTCTCCCGTCTATCTTTGTTAAATATTAACATCGGATTGCTAATGTGTAAATGCAGATTGGCAGAATGCGGTGATAATGTTACTCTGAAAGTTTAAAATAACAAGATATGTATATTTTGTTAATTCAACATTGAATAAATGTGATGCAATATTTTTCTGTCATGTGAATGGCGATGATCCTCTCATGATTGATTGTTGAATGCTAGCTGGTTAGATGTAATAGCTAGTAGCATATATAACAGAAAAGGATTTAAAGCCCCTAGATAAAATGCCGCTACTGATCAAAACTGCATCTCAGAAGCCAGTTGCAGTGTCTTCTTTTCCTGTATCAAACTACGTAGCTTGTCATTAATCTTAAAACAATATTAATTTCCTTTATTATTAGGATCCTGCTTCAAGCACAACTGCCATGGAAATATCAAGTACTTAAGCGTGGTAAATATCCAACTCTAGGAGCAAATGATAGGAAATTGATCACGATAAAAATAAATAAAAAATATGAAACTGATAGTAGCGTTGTAAGCATTTTGCACAACAACCAGGGAACAAGCAACGAGAACAGCAATTCTGATGTGTCATTTTTATCCAATCAAATTTGCAGTCAGGTGCATGACTACTGAAAGAAAGACAGACAGATGTGAAAATGAAGGGACCAAAGGAGACCCAGAAAACAAAATGAGGGCCAAAAGTGGCGCATGGGATCGGAGAGAAGTAACTTTTAAAATCTCCAATCACATATCAATTTTCCAACATGTATCATATGGCCTATATATCCTTTAGGTCTAACTGGCAAGTCCCTAAATGGAACGGCCAGTAGTCTGAGAAAGAATGTTGTCTCTTGCGTACGATAATCTTGTAGCATGAAACGAAGGCAACATAGCAATATCAAATGTTTAGTACTCTGTTCTAGTACATAGCATAATTTTAGGACAAATTCTATAATGCCTTCTGTACTAGTTGCAAACCCTACAGGTTTCAATGCCTCTTTCATAGAATTTTATTGTGTTTTCACAAATTTTGATCCGATTCTACAAAATTTGCACAATCTATATGTAATTCAAATCCAATATGGTCATGTTTGGTGAAAAGGAGAAAATGTTTTCTTTATTTGACAGTGGATCGTGGCAGCAGGAACCATGATTTTAACACGTACGCGGTTTCTGCAAATTTTTTTCTTTCTATCAGACGATTCTAGAGAATTCTAGAGCGGCAAGAAAGTTTTCAAATTATGTACTTCTGTATCCAGTACTAACTTCTCAAGAAAGGAGTTGTGCCTTCGTAGAATCTTGTTTCCTGTCGTTAATTTTATGGATTGATCAAACTGGTAATTCACCAATTATAAATGCAATCAGTCTCTTTTTATATTTCTTTTATTGGTTCGGCCTCATGAATATTGAGTAATCATTTTTTCTTGGATGCTAATTATAAAATATGTAACTAGAGAAAATTGGCGCCTGCTTGTCATGGAGGGTTTGCCTGCGTATTTTTCACGGTTCGAACCTTTAATTGGTTGACGAGATATAAAATTTTGCAAATTTTCAAATCTTTGTATGGTTCAAATAAATCATCGATCCAAGCATAAAATAAAAGAAAAACATGTTATGCGTAGCAATATTCTATACAACTTGACATGAGATGTTGGTTATGGGATTTTGCTTTCTCGTTAATTTTTGTGGTTTAGACTTCAAATTATATAATCAAACATGCAAAATCTCATGAATCGTCTTGTCCTAAGACGGTATGAAATATAGCACAAAAAACAAAAGAAAAGGAAAGATGCCACAGGATAGGTATAGGAACTAAAAGTTCTACTCTTGAACAAAAACAGACCTCTAAAACTATAGAGAAACAAATGAATTTTGGTGCATACTTTTGACTTACATGTGACCTTTTTTTAGCGTTCGCGAATTTTCTGAGAAGGTATGAGGAAGTTAATTAGTAGAGCCCAAAAACCTTGTACTGTAAGTTGTGGGATTTATTCAAAAATTTCCCTTTCCATCTTTATTTAGTTACTGCGTCACCTTCACCTTGGAGAAATGAATTTCCCTTTTCTTTTTTATTTTTCCTTTTTGGCAAAAATATATATTGCCTAATTAATTGGCTCATGAATAGTATAACACACACTGTACGGACATAAAAGACACGGCTTGAAGTGGGTCCCACTTAGATTGGAGACCAATTCCTTCGAAACGACGAACTTTTTGGTTAAGCTAAGACTTTTTTATGTTCAGGCAGTCAGCATTAGTGGATGCTTCAATGTCCGGGCATTGGGCTGTACGTAGAGAAGGTTGCCTATAAATACACTGGGAAACACACCAAGCTTCTTGTGCTCATCACAGATAGATAATCTCTTACACGTTGCTATAACACTGCTCCATTTGATTCCAGCTTTTCTTAGTTATTTGCCTCTTTACTTCATTTTCCATTACGAAATCTAGAATCTCTTCTGTCAACCTGGTAAAAAATTTCTTATCAATTTAGATATATTAATCTTGCGGTCTTGCTCTAGGTTGTTGTGTTACTAAAACTTTTTTTTTTTTAATTATTAAACTTATTTTAAACAGTTATAAACTGAAGGAAACATGACAAGCCCAACAAATCCAACTCGATCAGCCCCAGTAGGTTATGGATTCCATCCAACCGATGAAGAATTAGTCAACCATTTCTTGAAGCTAAAAATGCAAGGTGGCTATGATCACGAAGTTGGCATAATTGCCGAGGTTAATGTGTGCAATTTTGAACCTTGGGAACTGCCTGGTACTACTTAAATATGCGTATGCATGTGCATCTTAATTTGTTCAATCTTTTTTCTAATTTGCAATTGTCAATGAAGACATGATCATGTTGATGTGCAGGGCTTTCAGCAATTCAGTCAAATGATCCAGAGTGTTATTTCTTTTCTCCTCGCATTTATAAGTACTCCAATAGCCAGCGGGTTGATAGGACCACTGACGCTGGATATTGGAAAGTCACTGGTAGGGATCGCGTAATCAAAGCTGAAGGCACAGGGGAGCATATTGCTATGAAGAAGACTTTGGTTTTCTACAAGGGTCGTGTTCCTAATGGAGTCAAGACCAATTGGGTAATTCACGAGTATAATCCAAGTTTCAACTTCAATAACCAGGTATTGCTTCTTCGCAAAGTAGTTTTTATAGATTTTTTTTTTCATTTTTCAAGAGTAATGCTAATAATACATTGTTTTACAAGATTCACTAAACGAAAAAAATATCTATTGGATGCATAACTTATGCATTAAATAAGTGAATTTCATCAGTAACTCTCATAAATCCAATGGTCGATATTTTTCGGTAAGTGAATTCTATAAAACCATTATGTATATTATCATCACTCTTTTCAAAAAGCTTATTGATATCAACTCTTTTCAGATCTTAGAGAACCTTCCGTTTCTTCTCTAGTTTATCTTGTTTGGTCAACTTTGTGCAGAGGGAATTCGTTCTATGCAAACTGAAGAAAGATCCGGATGATATGCCAACATTTGAAGAAGGTGAACCAAGTTCCAATGTAGCTTCTAATTCTCCAAACAATGTGATACAGGTTAGAAGTAGCATGAATTACCCCAAGTTTTTGGTTACAAGTTGTTCTATGTAAGCATATCAGGATTCAGGAACTTACGTTTCTTTTAATGATTCCCTCAACAGGAAGATCAACTGGAATCATTCCTTGGAGTTGATGAAGGAGATTATAACTGAACTCTGCCCAACAGTTTAGAAATGGGAATATTTACTGAGAAACCCACCTTCAACAATGGGTTTTTGATCATCTATATCTTTCCATATTTGCCATATGGTACGGTAGCTAATATTATGTCCTTAATTAAGTTCCTATTTTGGTACTTACTAGTATTTATGCGTTAAACCTAGGACTCATCAGAGTTCATATGTATTGTGTGTAACTGATAAACCATAGGAACAAATTGCCTCTAGTTGTTCTTTATGGTGTTTCTCCTCGTTGTTTAGTGCACTTGAAGCATGTTCATCTTTGTGAGTTGTTTATGACTGGAGTGTTGATTGTTTAATTAATTCTAGCTAGTCTACTAGTGAGATGTTTAAGAATAAAGATAAAAAAAAAAAAGACTGGCGTATCAACAGCCTCTAGCTGACATGTTCTATTAACGACAATTTTTGCTGGAGGCTGTAGCCTTGAGGGCTAGCTCTTGAATTGCAGTCAAATGTGGTTTACTCCCAGATACTTGATCAAAGCTTGCCCTTGTTCTGCAGTTAGTGAAGAAATATTTCATGAGAATTTGCAAGATTCAATATCAAGCAAAGTCCCATAACTTGTAGGCAGCAAAGGAGTTCACTTTAAAAGAGCATGATCCTTGAGGAAAAAGACTCGCCAGCATCAAATGCATTTTAGAGAGATAAATATATAGCCAGGAGTCCCCTAGAAACCAATCAATCAGTGGTTGCAATTTAGAATTTCTAAAAATAGGATGCAAGTCCCGCTGAGAGAATTTTCTTTACCAAAAGAAATGAAGCATTCGAAGGCAATTCTGTCTGTTCAAGGAAAATTTACCAATTGGGCAGGTAATACAGGAAACTAGCAGAACCATAATGTACAGGTGCTACAAAACAAGACCATTGAAGACCTGCAAAATTACGAGAATCAAATATATACAAAGCCTAAATGAAAACTCTGTAAACCCCAACAAACCAGCATAAATTTTCTTCTTCAATGTTGACCAGCAAGCTTGTTCTTTTTACGAATCTCACTGCCTATGCTACTCGGGTATACAAAGGCAGCATCAACGCAGAGACCTCCTTTGGTGTGAGTGCAATCAATCTGAGTCATTGAAAAATTGATCTTCATTAATTCGTTTGGACGGTTGACAACAAAATCTCCGACATGGTAGTAAACCCAATTCCCAGGATTGTCCAAAAAGCATTTGGATGCTGCATGTTGACCATCAGAAGTCGTTAGCTGGAATCGTACAGGTTTCACATCCCAACCATGGACGAGCTCAGAATTACAAACTTTACGGCCCATTCTCTTTGAAGACCTGCCAAGCTGCAGCCTGAAGAATAGGCTATACGTCCCTTTTGGAAATTCAAACTCGAATTCTCCGTCTACTTCAAACCACCAAATCTGTTGAAGATAGGCAACTGTGTGGAATCTAAATCCAGAAAAGAACGGAACAATATATCAGTCAATTGATCCTTATAGCATTCAAAGTTCGTAGACGTAAAGACAATCATAAACAAGATAGTAGATCCATGGTTTAAATGGCCCTAAACGAACAGATTTCTCTCTTGCTGGTCTGTTGTTGAATGAAACTAAATAGTGTCAGACTAATTCGTTGGCGTCAACTCAAATCAATAAACTAAAATATATCAGTAGATAAAATGAACATACTAATAAGAGAAGGTCCTGCAGATAGCAATTTGGAAATGAAATGGAGTTTATTCAAATGTACAAACTTGTTATCATATTAATCAAAGCTTGTAAAAGGCAAGACATATAATATTCCATATAAAGGCCAAGAAGTTGAAATTTGATCACACAGAAGACATCATGTTAAACCACCAAAAACAGCTTGATCTTCTAAAGTTTTCACTAAACAATATTTTCTCTGTATCCCGTTGGATCGATCTAACAGTTTAATGAAAACACGAAAAACTATTTGTTCTGTAAGGAAACAAACACACACCCACACCCACACCTTGATTCCTCAGTCGAAATGTGATTCCAATATCTCCTGTCATCAATCCCAGTAATTGCCAACCCCTTTGAAGAAATCGAAAAACAAACCACACCAGTACGCTTATCCAGCCATACCTCCTGTAAAGAACAAGTAATCCAATCTTATTCTAATATCAAAACATACACGGGAATTCAAAGACAGAAAGAAACGTACCTTTGTGCCCCCATCAAAAGGATTAGGCCTGCACAGCCTGGCATAAACATCTTTCTTTTCCAAATCCACTACAGTCTTCTCATCAAACACTTCCTTGCATATAAACTTATAATTCGAGGGCAACTTAGATGCCCATATAAAATCAGCTGAAGAAGCGCCGCGAAAAGACTTGTTCAGACGAGCCAATTTGCAGATTTCAGGTGGGTCCAAGTGCATTAGAACTAATGCTAAGCAATTCTCGGGTATGTCACCTAGCCTTGGCTTCAAAGAAGGACCCTCCCCATTTGTATCACATAAAGTAGCACAAGATAAGTTAGCACCCATAAGAAAAATAGAAGAAAAGAAACAGAACAATCCCCTTAAATCTGCAGCCCTGATTTTGATCCAAGATAGAAGCTTTGAACCAAAAATTTGAGTACAAAATTAATGGGTCAAAAAAGTTAAGGTGACCAAAAAAAAAAAAACAGAGGGCCCTGAATTTGAAACCGTGTTAGGTATTCATATAGAGCTGAAGAGCAGTTAGAATTGGTTTGGTGCGGTTGAGTTTGTCATGATTCAGCTTTTCATGTACGCCCTTTTTTTTTTTTTTTTTTTTGAGATGGACAAACTGGAATCTTATCCAGTACAGCATTGTTAAGACAGCAAGTACAAGGTTTTAAAATTCCACGCTTATAGAAAGTGCGTGTAAATGTTTCTTTACATAAATGTTGCAACGTGGCATGTTTTTACGTTTTTTTACCTGGTTTCAAGCGGATTAAAATTTAAAACAGTCTTATTGTTTCTTGGGGAAACCTAACTAGTGTGCCCGGGTAAGTATTCTCTTAGTGTATTTATTAAATTTTATTTATTGAAAAATAGTGTTTAAAAGATAAAAAATAAATATTTAAACAAAAATCAATTATATTTATTAAATACATTAAATGAGTTCTATTTTATATTGTAATATTTTAAGTGTTTAAAATAAATTATAAATAAAAAATTACACATTAAGATTGATTAGAAGCGTTAAATATATTTTTAATAAGTAGTTTAAAAGCATCCCTTAATTGGATCTATGTTTGTTTTCTTTGACATAGGGGATCTTAATATTACCATGGATTGTCACCGAGGAATTTAGGATGTGATATTTAGTAGCACAAGACTGTGTAATTTAATTTAGTAGGCCATTCCGTACAATTATTTAATTAGGGGGATTTTTAAAATTTTTAGGAGCCCAATTACTATGTTTTTGGATTTTCCAAGGGCACTCACCATTATTTACATAAACAATGTATGCAAGTGTGATTATAGCTCTTTATAGCTGAATAATGCTAAAATACTTATTTTTTTATTAAAATTATTTTGATAAGTGATGTGGCATTATATGATTAGTGATTTATTAGTTAATATGTTTTATAATTATCATTGCATCATTAAATATATATGATAAAATTCACATCCATAATTTGAAAGTATTTCCATATAACCAAATTTAGATACTTCTAGCATGTTTTATTATTATTATTATTCTTAAAGAATCTCGGATCCAAAGGTCGGGCTAATCATTCACTGTCGATCGGATGCATAAGACAAACATAACTACCTAAAAAGTTTTATACTTATATAAGTATTCAAATCTAATACTTACTCAAATGACTATAACTCTTTCTACTCAAGTCAACTCTCTTGAGTTACTAACATGGAACTTTAAAGTTTAATTGATTGCTTAAAAATAATAATGGTAATAAAATACATTTATCGATATGGCTTTTAAGAAATGTCAAAATAAAAATATTTTTTATTTGTAATTTTATTAATACTTGTAAGATTGCTGGTTTAAAACTTGATCAATAAAAAAAATCAATATTTGAGAATACACATGCCATTAAAGAAAATAATAACTCAACACTGGATTGGTGTAGTCACAAATAAACTCTTCACGAATCATTTATATTTATGTTTCAATACATTAATGTAATTATTTTCTAAAAGATTTTAAAATTCAATTTTAATATAAGAGCGACGGAGTCTTTTTAAATAAATAAAAAATGATGAGATATGTATCTAATATTTCACATAAAATATAGGATAACTTGCCTATTTTTCCATTTTATGAAAAAAAATAATAAATAACACGCTTACTGTTAAAAAAAATCCTTACAGAAATAACACCTGTAGGGTAACTTTAACTATGCACGCGCACCAATTAGGCAATTGTCTCTTTCCTGCTTGACCCAACTCATAGGTTGCGTGGCATGTTCATTACTTCGTTGGGTTGATTTATTTATTTATTATGACCAAAATTTGTGTAGATAATGCCTGTGGGTGGGCAAGTACGTGGCTTAGAATCTAATGTAATCATACTGTCTCTCACCTTTGAAGGACTCAATTCGGAAAGTTGGATTTGCATGGACAACTTTCATCTTCCCATTTGTCCTTATGCTTTGCTTCCATCAACTCGATCGATCATCTTGAAAATTTATTGCCGGTCAGGGACAAGTGTATTTGGTCATTTGTGCGTTGAGAGAATCTCATCCTCGTTCATAAAAAATTATATATATATATATCTCTCTTTTTATGAGATAAATACTAATAATTACTTTATAAATAGTATAAAATTTCTGTATTTTGCTCTCTCTAAACAATTCAAAACATAAACGGGTGCAACTAAGTAAATTGTAAACTAGTCTCTTCATGTTTTAGAAATAAATTGAACAATCTTTCTTATTTTATAAATCAATTGTTTAATCATTTAACTAGGGTTTATCATATTTAATTTAATATTATATTTTTAAAAAAATATATCATATTTTATCATCAATTCTTCTATATTTTTTAAAATAAAAATAAATTAATAAAACAAAGAGGATTAAGTTATAAGAAAATTTAAAAATATAAGAACTGAATAATAAATTTTTTAAAAAAAAATCATTCCTATCACGAAACTAAAGAGACTATTAAGATAGAGCTCTATTAGTAAAGTCGTTCATGCTTAGAAGAGATAAGCTTTGCAAGTCCCTAGCCGTTCCTACTCCTAAAAAGGTGGAAGAGATAAGTTGTTCCTGTTGGAACGGATAAGCTCTGCAAGTTCCTATCTCTATCCAACAACCTTGTAGATAAATATCTAAGAGTCCTATGTAAAATATACTTGCATGCATATAAAAGAGTGTATCAAAATCCGAGTGAAATATAATAGAGAGGCATATTATTCCAGCATCTAACTTTCCGTTTCAATTGGTATCGAGCCTTACAAGGTTTAACAACCAAACTTCTTCCTTTTCTTCTTGCCTAAACTATGTGCCCGATAGCCAAACTCTCCCCAATCATACTTGAATAACCCGAGTTTTCTAAATACCTTGATAAATTTCACATTCATACTCGTCATGTAAACTTAAAAAATATCCCTCCCTTTTTTTTCTTTTCTAGTGCTACGCTAACGAGTCCCCTCTCATACAACGACCCTCATCTTTTCTTTTATCTTCTCCAGTAAAGACCTTCGTGTTTTTTTTCTTTTTACGAAAAACAATGGCTCTCTCCGGACACACAACATCTCCCACCATCGTTGTTGAAACAGTTCCAGCTATTCATCAATCACGCACCTTATGACCCAATTAACCAACTCTTACCACTTCATCTCTATGAAATTAATCCAAACAAACTACCTACTATGGAGAATCCATCTCAAACCATTCATTCTTAGCCAATATCTATTCCAATTTGTTGATAGCTCTTTCCTTTGCCCTTCAAGCCATGTTATTGCTATTGATACTAGTCTTCCTCAAATCAATCTAGCTCACAAAGCATGGATCTAACAAGACCGACTCTTAATAAGCAAAATAATCTCCTCTCTTTCCATAGATGTTCTCTTCATGATCATCGATTGCACCACCTTATAAGAGGTATGACGTGTACTTGAGAGTGACTTGGCTTCCCCTTTTAGCACTCGTATCATGACACTTCATCTTGCTTTGCAAAGAATAAACCGGGAGCCTCATAAGTCGGTGTCTCGGTTCCTTCATTGCACCAAAGCTTTTAGTGACGAGCTAACGACGATTGGCTATACCTTCTCCCTAATCAACTTCAATCTTTACGTCTTAAAAGGGCTCTCCAGGTGACTTCGAGGATATCGTCACTAACCTCTTAACTTGTGCTTAAACCGAGTATCATTAACTAATCTCTATGGGTTTCTTGTCAGTCATGAATTTCATATTCAAGATTTAGACATTCCTTTATCACTAAAGACAACTTTATCGCCCACTTCACTTATTGCCAACATGATAACAAAAAATTCGAGTCACTATAGTGATCGTTATAGAGGCTACAACTATGGTCATGGTAAACGAGCATAAATGCCGAGGACGTGGTCGTTCCACCTCCAAATATGACAACTCCTTTCGATCCGAAAATAAAAGCTACTTGGAACCAACAAGACTCCCACACAAGATGCCAAATTTGCTCCTTCGAGAATCACACGACTGTTCACTCGCCCACGATGCCACACTGGACAGCAACATCCCACGGCTAACATTATCGCCTCTTCTTCATCCCTGCTCGTGCTCCCTGCTCGGTGCTTTGACATCGATGCATCCCACCATGTGATTCCATATTTGGCTAGTTTCAACATATATGAGCCATATACGGGCAATGAACAACTTCGGAGTTAGCAATGGTGAGTTTTTACCTATTTCTCCCTAAAGCCTTCATCTTTCAATTTCGGTTCTAAAGCCTTTTTAGCAACGATCTTTGCAAATGTTTGACACTCTAGAATGAGTCATCCCTACCATAGAGTATTAAATTTTCTTTTAAAATAACATTCTTTATCCGACTTTTTAAATTTATCCGGTCGGTACTTGTCTTGTCCATTAGAAAAAACAAGTCCCTTATCATTAACCTTATTAAACACTTTAAGCGAGTGGTATTTTGGATTTGGTTTTCGGTGATGTTTGAGGAACTTTCCCTATTGCCTCTATTGATGGTTTTAAATATTATATTATTTTCATTGATCACTTCTCTAAATATATTTGGTTTTATCCTTTGTGGAAAAAAAATCAAAGGTATATAATGTCTTTATGCAATTTCAAAAAATGGTTGAACGTTGGTTTAATTATCAAACTAAGCAAATCCAAACTAATTGGGATGGAGAATTTCAAGGACTAAATAAATTTTGTAAAACATTGGAATTGTTCACCGTATCATATGTCCTTACACACATGAAAAAAGCACCGTAGAGATGACGATATCGTCGGATTGTGAAAATAGACCTCACCCTCTTAGCCAAGGCCTACGTTCCTAAAAAATATTGGACCTTCACATTTGAAATTGCTATTTTTTTAATTAATAAAATG